TAAGTCAATGTTATTAGACCAGCTTAGAATTGCATCACAATTGCAACACTTTTTTCACAGGTGCATTTCCTCTCTGCATTTTTCAGATATACTTCTATTCTTTTGAAGTATTCCACACAGCCAAGTTTGAAGAATACCTTATCCCATACGTGTCCCTGGGAGTTGGATTGTGTGAATGCTTATCCTCTATACTGTGTGTAAGTTTTTCAGACTGAGTTTGAAGAAAAAATTTAAGGTGATCAACAACTGTACTTTTCCTATAACTGGACTCAGGGAAGATTTGCATAACCTAAGACTTCTTTCTGCTTCTGCAAAACCACATGCAGGATAAAAGGCAGCTCTTTTTTTCCAAATTATTTGCACGACTATATGTTTTTGGACTAATTTTTATTCTGTAAAATAATGTTCTGATGTTCTGGATTAAATGCGTGTATGTATGCACAACTTGATATATACCAGCATGCAAGAAAGAAAACTGTCTAACAACAGCCTAGGGTTGACTGATAAACACAACTTAATCAATAATGAAATAACTTTGAAGAAGCTATTAAAATTAATTAGGAATTAAGAGGTTCTCAAATGACATTGATTTCTGGCTATTATTCAGACAAGTCTTCTGCAAAGAAAAAATGGAGAGGGGATGAATTATTTTGAGAACTGGGATTTATAACCTGTGTTTTCTGCTTTTCAGAGCACCCTTATAGACCGATTTGGGAGGAAGGTGCTGCTATGGGGAGGATACACACTGATGTGTTCTGTGCTAGCGCTCCTTACCATGACCCTGTCACTGCAGGTAAACAGGCCGCAGCGTTTTGGCTACTTGCTCAACATCAGCCCACCTTGCCTCATAGGATATATACAAAAACTTGAATCAGTGGCAAAAAATAGAGCTCTGCTATTCTGTCATGTATCTAACGGTTTGATATCACTGGTTTCTCATTTTTAGCACCAGTTTTTCTGGATGCATTACTTCAGTGTTATCTTGATCTTCCTATTTGTTATCTTCTATGGAATTGGACCATGTGAGTACATCAATGGCAATGTTGGGAGGAAATTTTGTATCATATTGGTTGGTGACACAACTAGCAGAGGAAGAACAGACTAGTCCCATGGTAAAAAGTTCTGGAAATTAAGGAGGGAAGGGCAGATATGTACAAATGGGAGACAGGAAAAGGATACAGACACCTTGAATTTTATTACTGATCACAGCATCTAAATAATTTAAAATATAGTATCATCTTCTCCAGAGGGTTTGAGACAGAAATTTCAGAACAACTTTTAAAACACTCAGCTAAAAACAGGATTCTAGGCACTGCCAGGAATATTATAGTAATCATCTTCAATAACTTAGCAAGTTAAGGTCTATGCCTACCAACAAGCTTCGGCTAGAACTGACCTCAGGAGTCAAAAGGGGAGATTGTTTTAAAAATTACTGCGCTAATAATGGCTACCAGTGCAATATGGAAGTGCACAGATCCACTGGCACCAGAAAAAGGATCCCAGTACAAGAGAAACCTAAATCAACAGCTGAAATCCAAAATTAACAGCTGTAGTCCCTTTCTGCAATCGAGGTCTTTCCCCCTCATAGCAGAGGCCGCCTGCCAGCAGGCCACCAATTCTGTGTGTCTGCCATTTTCTACCTCTGCCCTTTTCCACCACTGCCCTTGCAAGGATTTTCAGTTTTTTTTTACCTGGTTTCTGTTTTGCTTTTCTTTTTCAGCTGGAGCCACTATATCTATCATGGTTGAAATCTTCAGCCAGTCATTCAGACCATCAGCCTTTCTGATTGTTGGCTGCATCAACTGGATGGGACTGTTTGTACTTGGGATGATTTTCCCATTGATTGTCGTAAGTGCCTCTAACTGGATCTCTCCCTCCAGGCTAATCCACTTCTGAATGCTGACAGGGAGAGAAATAATAGCAATAAATTGCAACGATACGCAAAGCTTAGAGCTCTGTCCAAACACCAAACCTACTCAGGGATCCCCCAGCCCTGTCAGAGGAGCAGCAACTGGACTCAGGTCAAACATGGCTGGTGGAAACTCCTGGTTTGATACCTGTCCTGGTTTGTGTACTGAGCACACCTTGGAATATTAATTGCGAAGACACACACTTGCGCCCAAGGGCACTGAAATAGAAACGAGATTCTTATCTTCCTTACAATGTCTCCCATTTCTGCTTGCAGGATAACCTTGGACCCTTTTGCTTCCTCATCTTTTTGGCAATCCTTGCTTTATCAGCAATTTTCATCTACCTGTATCTCCCTGAGACGAAGGGAAAGTCAATCATGGAAATAAAAGCAGAGTTCAACAAGCTGAACTTTGGGAAAAAAGAAACCTCAGTCACTGAAAATAAGTTTCCTAAGGAGCAGTTGTTCTGCACCAAACTCTGAATGTTCAGAGGAGAAATTTGCATCTCTTAGAAAAGACAGGAAACAATGTTGCAACAGAACTAAAAAGGAAACATTAAAAACAGACTGCAAGCTCTTCTGTCTCTTACTTCTTTTTTCTTTTCTTTTTTTTTTTTTTAATATAGATATGAAATTCATTATGCTAGAGTTTTATTTCCTGATGAGATCTAAACATTTTCACGGCAAATTTCACCACTCAGTTTTAAGATCTACTGGATACAAAGAGATCTTTTTTCTATTAAAAAAAACTTTTATAACAGTCTACCTTATGAAGTTTTAAAACATTTTGTTAACAGTCCATAGGGCCCAAATCCTGCTAGAAGAACATACATACAGGCTCTGCTTACAGCCCTGGACCCACAACCGTTGACCTCAGTTGCTCTCCCTTATTCCCAGGAGTCCTGCCCAATGCCACAAGTACTTCAGCAGTTTGCTATTGAGCTTTCGTAAATGAGACCTCTCTAGCTCTAAGCACCTCGTAATCAGGAAACTGCTGGCAAATAGCTCAGGGAAGAATATCAGAAATATGAAGGACCAAGTAAAATAATTTATAGAAGACAATCCTTAAGGGAAGGAAGGATTAAGAAAACTAAATGGTCATGAGTAATAAGGCTGGAGAAACACATAAGTCTAAAATATTTGCCTAGCAGGCCGAGAGAGGAAAAGCTAGATATGTGGTTTAGGGTGTCCTGTGCAGATATGGATTCAAATCTTAGCAAAGTAAATTAGGAAAACAGATTCCAGTCATAATAACAGAAAGAAAAATATTGAAAGTGAAATTGTACTGTGCAACACTCCTTCTGGAGATGTAATGGAAATCTCAGTGGAGAACATTCTAGTAACTCTAGGTCGGGACAAGGACCTGCCAATCAGAGATATTATTTTATGTAAAAGATGTAAAATGGCTGCTGTGAAATAAAGCACACTCCCAAGAGCATCTGTGGTGTCTAAGGATCTGATTTCCAACCTGGTACATCAGCTTCTGGGAATTACATCAGATGTTTTCAGAGAAGAAAGAGTTTGTTTTGGAAATGTTTTTCTTGTTATGCAAGCAAGCTGCAAATAACGAGTGATTATTTTACCCAGCAGAAAAAATAGGTTGTGAAGTTCATTTGAAATACAGTCTAAGTTTTTCCAAGTGAACACTAACAAGTATAGTATGATTTCTGACTAAATGCTTTGGATCATTCCACTTGCTTCAAAGATTCGTCAATATTACAAACAGCAGTTCCTCTCCTTATGGATGGAGCTGTCATTAGAGTTCATTTTTAATGCTTGGACATAGGAAACCTGCCTTGAAAAGGCTGTTTCTACGCACAGATTTTATTTCCAGCTATTTTTCAAGATTTTCATTATTTTCAGAATGTTTTGGATACAGGAGATGCAATCCACTTATATGGGCTGTAGGAGAACACTGGCACATAGTAATTAATCTCCTGACTCTTTATTTGCTGGGTTTTTACAGCAAGGGTGCTACAGCGAAGAAACTGACTTAAAATCAAGATACACCACACAATCAACTTAAGCATGTTGATACGGAGGTATTCACCATTTAAAAGTATTTGTTTAAATTACACTGTGTCAGAACAAGCATTTAGCACAAGCTATAGAAAGTGCTCCCTCTTTGCCGCAGGCTGGGGAATGGAGTGAGTAGAAAACCCCTTAACTGGGCATAAAGACGCCCATCACCTTTAACATTGACACATTAACAAACCATTTCTTCTACCCCCGTCAGCATTTTCAACCTGCTTTCCCCACACATATGTCACTGCCAACACCCCCTACCAAATGCCATATCACCACTCCAAATCACTTCTCTCATGTAAGGCTCTGCTAGATAGCAAAGAAAACCGATCCCAGCTCTGCCACATACTCCACTGTGGATAAAGCCCCTCATTTTAGAAAGCCTGTGGATTTTTTATCTCTCGGGAGATCCTGTTGACTGTTATGGGACTATTAGCACAACAAAGGAGCAAGTTGAAAACAAGGCTCCTCTGAGTATGTAGAATCCAGTACTCACCACAGTGGCAAATCAAGACCCTGGATTTTAAGGCATCTTTGTCATGACTTAGTCACAATTCAGGAAAGGTCTCCACAACATGTGCTACTGGGGTGTTTCTGTTATGATCTATTCCACAGAAAAAGTCCCAGACCTCACAATTGAGGCGTCCATCTAAATTTTTTACATAATTATAAGACTTGCATAAAGACGCACATTATATTTCTCCCACTTTCAAATAGTCCTTGAAGACTTGCTCTTTCACTGGTTTTCAAGAGCACGGCTGTATACAAATATGAAGTGTCTTTTTGGATGTTTTGATTTCCAGAGCACAAAAAGCCAGCTTTCCCGACTAGGAGAGCTGTACATTGACTATGTGCATTAGCGACCAGCAGCCTGCAGATGGCACAGGCAGCCTCACCTCTCCCGAGGCACTCCCACCCCTCCAGGTGCACCTGGGGAAGGTACCACTGATTATTTAAAGGCTCCTGAGGTGCTTACTAGTGCAGTGTGGTAGGTTATCTTGCAGGTGAGTCAGGAGCAAAGCTGTGAACAAGGTGAGCTGAAAGAGAACCCTCTCGCGATCCAAAGATGCTGAAGTTACTTGTTAACACAAATATAAGCAAGGATAAAGGTCCAGAGTCTTTCACAGGGGAGGTCACCCAGTAGTTATCAAAAGCAATGGGCAAACCATCACAGGTAAGCCCAGATGCTCAAATGTTTTCTGTATTTAGTCAGCTGTGCCTGTGCAATGAGCTGTTTCTCAGTGATAGCCTCTATAAACTAACATGCCCCCTGACTCACCAGTACTTAGAGTCTTCTCTCTATATAAATGTCAAATATGTGTTTGCTGTAACTAAGTGTTTTTAGACCCCAACAGAGCTAAAAGTATTTAAACTAGCTTTCTGTATGATGGCATTCCATATAGGTCAAGACACTGGATGGGTGTGGGTATGTATACCCATGTATCTCTGTGAATACCTCTCAAGAATCTAGCTGACTGAAAGTAGACTCACCCTCTAACTTCCTTGCAATTGCCTGCAGCCTAGTGGTTACAGCTGAAGGAAAAAAGAAGGTATTTAGCTTGATTGGACACCTAGCAAAAATACCCATGTGACATCCTTCTACTTTTAGTCAAAATACCAGAGTAAAATCTGTCTGCCCATTTCATTACCAAACTGGGGGACTCTTACCTGCCAAAACCCATGGCAATATGCTATGGAGGTAAAGTACTGAAATGCTGTCATTAAGGGTCTTGTAAGGCTTTTATTTTCTTAATTAATCCTGAAAAGTCATTAGTCACTGTGTCAGTTGTTTACTGAAGACAGTTGATGAATATGAAAAACAGAGTGAAAGCTTCTCTGTAGAGCTGTGACCTTTATAACGTGAGTTACTCAGTTGCTGTAGCTGCAGTAAATTAAGTGAATTGGCTATAGATTTTTTAGCAGCTTGGTGAAGTGCTCTTTCTATGTATTCATTAGTAAATGAGTGTTTTCAGGAAATGTTTCTTATTTTTCTTATTTTACTTTGGAAATGATGCTTTGAAACCCTAGAAAGAATGAAGTTCTCGTCCCTACAGAAAGGATTTTGAGGGCTTCCCAGCAAACCTTTATCTGCCCACTGGGACACCTGAAGCTCTTGAGTAGATCTTTGCTCTTCATAGAAACAAAGTGCTCTGAAATGGTAGTCACCCTGGACTGGTTAAGATAGCAACAGATCTCTGAATCCCTTAGCAATCGTTCGATACAGGTGGAAGTGTCCTGGGAAGGGAAGAAGGGGATAAATTGACCCAAAATTAAAACCCAAGTGGAATAACTGAAAATATTAGAACAAAGTTTGGAATGTCTTAAAATGGTAAGAAGAAAATTGTGAGCAGCTGCTGTGGTTTGGGCTGGACTGGGCACTGCAACTGGCATGTTTTTGTTAAAACTAGGAACGTTTTAAACAGTCCCACAGTAGTGTCTTATGGTCCGGTATAGCCAACACTTCCAGTAATGACCCTGTAGACCGAGATGTGCAGATAACAATAGCTTGTATGCACAGAAGACAGTAAGAATTCAAGAAGACAGATCTTCTCAAGTCAAGAAGCTTTCTTTCCATAGCTGATTAAGTCAAACTGCACAAAAGACAAAGAATAACTCTTTAAAGAGAAAAGGATTTGGGGGGCTATTATGGGTTACAACATGAATAAGAGTTAAGACCATGCTTGGGAGCAGGGGAATTTAACTTCTGCTGTGCATAAGGTAGAAGTAAGCCTCAGCGGGAGGACTTCACCCAGCCTCAGGCCCTTTACTTTTAGAAAAAGGTAAGCAGATTAGAGATGTACCAAAGGAAAAACGCTAAAGAAATAAGATAATGCAAGGATCAACAGACACTCTGGCTCTTCTAGGAGAGAAGGCTGAAGAGAGGGGCTGTTATGGAAGAGATGGGAACACTACTTTTTTTTTTTTTCTTCCTCAGTGGCATAAGGCAGGAAGCAGTCATCTTAACTTGCAGTGAGATTTCAGCTAGCTCTTGGAGGAAAACTTTAAAAGTTTCTGTGAGTTCCAGTGAGGTTCTGCATTGGACTTGCACCGTGGATCCCACCAGTGGTGGGATGCTTAATAGTACTGACACTTCTTTGACCAATTAGAGATTCTCAGTTCAGTACTGATAATTAGAATATCTTGTTTTTGTATGGCTGTAGACTTTAGAAGACAGTTGTATGTGGTTGGATGTTCTCATCAAATAGATTTGCTGATGAGTTACAAAGCCAATCAACCTGGAGAAGCCTCGTTCTACTGTGCCTTTTCCAGGCAGATTGTCTGATAAAGGCCCCCTTCTTCCTCTAGGGACAGTAATGAAGCTCTGTGCTATCAACCAGTCTCATTAAACATGAAGGATATCAATCTCTGCCAAATTTGGCCAAAGTTAGTTATCTCAGGGAATAGCCAGAAGCATGTTTTAGGCTTGTATAAGCCTTGTCTCCACAGAAAGCAGGCTTAACTGTAAATGGGAGAAAGATTATATTTTTTTTTCCCAACACATGCAGCGATATAATGAAATTCTTATGTAAAACTGTTCTGTTCTATCCCTCTTCAAAGAAAAACCAAACATTTTTTATCAATCTAGCAAACAAGTACTTGCTGGTTGGAGTGGGGGTGTCAGCTGGTGGCTCTTGCATAACAGCTCCTGAATATAAAGCTAGAGGCCAGGGCTGGGATGCAGCTGGAACAGGTTTGTACAGCAGCGTGGAAGGGATATGCAATGGTACTTAGAAATATACAAGGAAAAACAAATAGATTTTTTTTTTTTTTAAGAAGACATGCAAGCTCTTCATGACAAAGGAGGCAATAGGAAAGGGAGAGTCTCTTAGTTATAACACAGAAAGAAGGAAAGGATTAGGGCGGGCTGGAATGCAGAGCTTTCCTCTCGCAGGAAACACTACCACTGGGAAAAAAATACTGATTTTTATTTTTAATCAAATAGGGTTTTTTTTCTACCGGAAACTGTTTCAAACTGCTCTAAGAAGAAAATTTATTTTTTAAAAAATAAAATATCTACCCTAGAAGCAGATTATTGAACCCATATTTGTACCTACATTTGGCCTAAAGTTGAGAGCACAGGGTGTCCAGCCAGGGGAGAACAGAGCCAAGCAAGTGGTACCTCAGCAGGATCTTCTTGGCTTATCCTGTACTGCTGTGGTCTAATCCCCACCCAAACAAGCTGTAAATGATGGCCAAGGCAATTACCCAGACAACTCCTGGTACTCGGGCTACCTTGTTTTACCAAGAGGATGAACAGCTCTTGAGTTCCAATGATGCGCTGCTAATAAACGTGGGTAAGAACAGAAGCCAGATGGATGCCAAAGGAACTGATCCCTGAAGTCCCCAGTGTGCGGATCTGACACTGTGTATTAGCAGCAGGGAAAATTGCAGGCTGGTCATTAATATTAACATAGATACTTTCTTCTATTTTTCCTGCTATCAAGAACAAAAGCAGGATTAGGCTGTATTTTGTTTAATGAAGGGGATGTTGATTTAGACCTCTGCTGTGTCAGGTCACATTTACCTCAGCAGAGAAGACTGCAGCAGGAACCAGTGAGGTGCAAAATCTCTCTGGAACGTAGGGCAGCAGCAATGCAATTGCACACCCCCACTCGCACCCAGCCTTCCTGCACAGGCATGGAAAGCTCAGTGGCTTGGATGAGGTTCTGGAGGTACTGCAGGTCACCGAGCTCTTGCAGCACCTGGACTTTCTACCCAAAATTTAAAGTCAATAAAGATGATACTGCAGGGCCCTCCTTCCAACAGTGTACCTGGGCTGAGCATCCAGAACTCATCTTTCAGAAGGTAACTGGGCACACCGGGGTTGAAGGTTGCAAGACAGCAGGCAGAGAAGGATCTTTGCCACAGGGCAACTTAATAACAAGAGTGAAACTATTTGCATTTTGGTAAGTGGTGAAAAGCATCTCTGAGTGCCTGGGACTATTTTTTTTTTTTTTAAATTTTGTGTTGCTAATACTTTTAGTTAAGAATACAGCCATTCTGCAATAGATGAAAGAACTGTAATGGCAGTGCCTGTTCCCAAATGGTATGTCATGGGAATGTGATTGGATTGAATACTTTCTCATCTTTGTGAATTGCAGGAAAATGTTTAGGAACTCTGGAAGCGCAATGAAGTATATGCAGGTGAATTTCGAAAGTGTAACTGACAGGTGTATACCTCTTTTCACTGCAGTTTAGGTACACAAATGCCTTCCTGGGTCTTCAAAACTCTTCCTAACATGGCAAAGGAAAATAATATTCTCTTCCTCTTCCAACAGTATCTAGCAATACAAGTATCTCCAGACCAGCTGATGTCCTTTGGTGGCTCCACAGATCCCTGTGCTATGTGCTTTCTCTACAGCATTGGTAAGATAGGGGAGCAGGAGAACAAGGTCTACTCCAAATTGCTTTGCGACATGCTGAACAAACAGCTGAAAATACCATCTGACAGGTGAGCCTGTATAGCAACTTGTCTGACATGAGTTTCCTCAGATTGTTAAAACTACTAATCCCACACTTGTCCTTTTGGTGCTTTTCTATTAATGTTCTACTTGAAGAGGCTAAATGCCAAGTCAATAGAGTAACTCTCCAATTAAAAAGAGGAAAGGATCAATTGCATGAGCTGCAAAGCCAACACCCAGAAGTGGTAAAATTTCTTTTAGTTAAAATGATGGAGGCTCATGCACTGTATATACCCACAGATCTTGTATGTGAAAGAGCCCAGGTACAGACACAATAACTTGATGTTATTAAATTGACAACTTGAGTAACATGTACCAACACTTCCCTACTGCCTATGGGGTACAAGGGGAGGTCTACTACAAAAGCTTCCACTTACATAAAAGCATTTCTAGTCCTTTTCCTGGAGGTACAACAACCTGCTCCAGAAATGACTGTAAATAAAACACAGCATCCTAAGAACCTTAAAACAAGAAGTAGAAAAATACCAGTAACTCTGGAATGCAAGTAGACAAGACCTTAAAAGGGGTGCGGGGGGGTGTGGGTGGGTAGGTGGGTGGGTGTATGTGTGCATATGCAACACTCAAACATGCCTGCCAAGACTTGCGAAAGGAAATTGTAACTTGCCGAGATGCAGTGCAGGCCTGAGAAGTGTGAAGCCCCGGGGCAGCCTACAGCATGGCTGTGTACATCCCACTGCAGGAACACCCTGGCCAGCAGCTAATGGTGTCTGTCTTCCCTTTCAGAATCTATGTCAGCTTCTTTGACATCAGTGCTGGCAACGTAGGCTGGAACAACACCACCTTTGCTTGAGGTGCCCTCGGGTGGTATCAGCTTATTCCTGAATGTAGCTTTTCAGCACTGCAGCTCTAGTCATGTTACCAGTTATCTGGCACAAACGCAAAAGGCAGTGGTAACTTAGTTGCTGTTACCTACTGCTGTTTAACATCTTGTCTGCTGGTTAAAAAAAAATAGTAAAAATCCATCAGGACCCTTATGACTGATACTGTCTTGTTATTCTGGAAAGGCTTGTGGCTGAGATGAAAAGTGCTTTCTCAAAATACTCTTAACAGAAGCTTTCAGTTTCTAAAAACAATCTATTTTTTTGTGTGAAGATGAACACTCCGTTTTGGTATGCCTTTGCCCTGTTCATCCTGGACAGCCTGGCCAAATTTAAATACAGCTATCTTGACCTTATTTCAAAATACACTTGTGTTTAAGTTAATAGATGTGGCTGTCAACGTGGCATACAGCCCTCCCTTCAAAAGGAGAGAAGACATGATTGCTTCTTATTTAAAAGGGATTGATTGAAGACCAGGTCCTCCTTGGATCTTAACACTACATGGACCTCTAGCTGCATAGCAGAAAAACTAATGCTGCAAGAGCCTCCCCGGGCTCAGGATAGGCGGAGGGACTAAGTGGAAAAACACACGGTCTGCCGTTCTGCCCTCCCCTTTTCATCCATTGAACAATATGTAGTGACAGTGAAGATTAGAGCACAGCTCAAAAGAGGCAGAGGCACACTGAGCCGTTCCCAGAGGCCAAAGTAATGAATTACTTACAAAAGGAAGATTTCCATATAAATATTTACTATTCAAGCCCTTGGTCAAATAAGAGCACTTGCTTTCAAAGTAAAAGAGAAAGATTGAGTACAGATCCCTCTGAAATTAGGTGTGTTATGACATTTTTTTCTGGAAGAACAAAGCCATCTCACTGCTGTTCTGAGCTCTGTTGTGAACATTCCTTTTTGTTCCTATCACAGCTTTGCTTTGCAGCTACAGTCTTTAAATACAAGCCTGTACCTCAATCTGCAAAAATGCTTTGTTGAGATAACAAATGAAAGCTGCTTTGGTGAGTCAAAGCAGCACAGCCAATGAAGCAACATGCTACTTAGCATCTAAATACAGTATATTTTATTAAATATTTTTCATTTCACTCAATGCCTTGCAGAACTGCCCAAGGAAGGAAGAGAGCATGAGGTAGATAGCCTTTTGGCTGAACTGCTTACGGAGAATAGCTATGAAGCCCCTAAACACAGCAAGACCTTACTATGGGGAGGCAGTTTCCTTCTCCAGAAATCAATCTGCCTTCTTCATAGAACCACTATAGAGCTCAAAGAATGCTGCTGCTTCCTGTTCTTGGAGCCACAGCACCACCATTGCCTGATGTCCTCCTGGTTCCTCCTCCCTGGTCCAGTTGCTCTGTGATCCGATTTTGACTGTGATGAAGCTGGGTATGCACAACTGCAACCCATGAATGCCACAGCCCTGCTATTTGCTGTCAGCCTCCACAAAAGGCTTCAGCCTGCCCCACGTATATTCTGAAGCCTTTCTATCCTAGGTGCTTTCAGAATTATTCTCAGAGCATCCAAATCCTGAAATGTGTGTTCCTAAGGTACATCATGACACAAGTACAAATAAGACCACCTCTACTTCCTAACAATCCATATACTCTCTAATAGGGAATGAAAAGCTCTCTTTGCTTCTGCCACATCATTAGAATGCTCTTGGTATATTTCTGTAAAACACTTTACCTTTCATTTGTTTGCTCTTAGACATTTCTTCATTGTTCTTATTTTAGCTACAGGTAATTGTGTTTTAAGACAGATGCTGTTTATCCAGAAAATGTGTGTGCGTGTGGAGCAAACTCTTGAGGGAGGGGTGTGCACAAGTACACTGGTATTTGGTTAACTTCTAAAAATGAATCTTTAGAAACTATGAAAATATATGCACTGCTTCTCCCTTAGTCAAGGGGCAAAGGAGAATGACATTGCAGATGTCTCTCTATTGTGTGGCAGCATGGCCAGGGTCTGCCACTTCGGGCCTGGCAGGCCATACAGCAAGGACACCAGTGGTGCCAAAATTCCCACCCCACCTCCATGCAACAACACTGGGAGGCAGGAACGGGGGAGGAATATGTGGCTCTACACAATGGCAGGGAGCTGACGATACTAGTTCTTACTAGCACTGTTAATCACTAAAAAAATAAATGCTGCAGTACTGCCAGTTCTCAGTGTTATAGCCTGTTACCCCAAAGCATTCCTGTACAATACCATTTCTTACTCTTTGTTCAGGACTACTGGTGTTCAGATGTGTAAGAAGTATGGTCAAGCTTTCTAGCATCAGCAGCAGTGCTGGGACTTGGTTAAAAATTAGTATGTGCTCGATTTCTGTGTGTAAAATGTCTGTGTGGCGCGGGCTCTGGGCCTGATTCTCTTTAGCCTTCCCGTGAGTCATTTCAAGCAGTGCAGCAGAGAGCTGCGCCACAGTCACGGCAGAGCCGTGCCCTCTGCAGCCTACGTGCATCACATCACACAGCCCAGCGGAAGGCTCATCTCTCGGGCTGCCTTTCACCTCCGAATAGACACGCACCATTTCATTTCTAAGAAAAAAAAAGATCACTTCTGCCTTTATCCAGTATAAAAATATGATATGAAAAATCAGGAGTAATGTATTAGTTTCAATTTGACTGAAAAATGTTAGAGAATAATTAACATGCAGCACATCAGGCATTTTGGCTTACATTGCGTTACAACTATGCACAAAATTAAAACGAAAAACGTGCAAATGTGCCTCTATTTTGCAAAAGAAAATAATTCCCTTGGGATCCAGGGCTAGTATCCCTTTTTGCAACTGCCAAACTAGCGCCTGTAGCCCTTTTTGGCCCTGATCCTGCAAAAGCTAGTGGCCGTGCTACAGCAGTAGTACCACATGCGCTGATACCAGGTTATGTATGAACTGCGGAGCGCGGCAGGACTCAGTTCCAGGGAGGAGCCTACAACATACCCTCAAAAAAAATGCTCAATGGTAGTAAGAAAGCAAACGAATAACGGGGGGAAAGGGGGGAGAGTTCTGGCCGGGACGCCGCCGCGGGA